AGCAGCTTTGGTGACTTGCGGGATATGTGTGGTGTTTTGTGTTCTTGTTTTTTTTGTTTTGCCTGGAGGAGTTGTTTGTTTTATGTTCTAAAAATGCTTTGCTAGTAAAAATGACAAGAGTTTACCTCCTGCTTTATTAGAAGGTTCTTAGAATGGGGGGAAATCAAGAAAGAAAGTATGACAGAAAAACTTGGAAAGAAGAAAATCAGTGAGAACTAAGAAAACACTGAGGACCAGGCTTGTGAATGAGGACAGGGCTTGCCTTAGAAAGGATATCAGAACACAGGGTGATCATGTCTGTAAATGGCCAAACTGGGCCAGGAAGCTAGCTTTTAAAGTGCCACAGGCAAAATGAAAGATTATTTCCACAAACTAGGCCAGGTAACAAGCTGACATGATGCTAGATACAGCCATCTTTTCTTTCATTAATCCCACCAGCATTTACTGAGCGCACATGCACTAGGCCCCATGCTAGGTGCTGGGGGGCAGGTTAAGGGATGGATAAGTCAACACAGATGGTCACAGCTATAATGACCTCTTAGTTGCTCAGTTCTCATCAAGTGCCAAGAAGCATTTCCCATACTCATGTGGCCTCAGAAGTCTCTTTTTCTTATAGCACCTCTTGGAAGTAATTTGGCAGGAGGGAGACTTGGTTTAACAGCAGTTAGTAAGGACTTCTAGCTGACTACAAGTTTAGCCTAGAAATATCAGTATGCTACAGCTGCTGAAGAGCTAATGAAATCTTAGGCTGCATTAAAAAGCACACAAGATTCACTACAGTGTGCTCTTCTGCAATCAGACAACACACCATATCCACGTCGGAAAACTTGCTTTCAGAAGGTAATCACTGGGAAGGTGAGGGGTACATAGACACCTGGGGAACAAATGCAGAACCTAGGGCGTTTACCCGAGTAAATTCAGGGGCCTTAAATCAAAACATCACAGCCATACAAAAGTGAGATTAACTTTCCCATGAGGTAGTGAGTGGCCTGAATATTTTCAAGGTCACTTTTTGTTGTTAATCCTCACCAGAGCTTATTTTTTCCATTGATTTTTTAGAGATAATATAAGGGAGGGGGAGAGACAAAGAGAGAAACATCAATGTGAGAGAAACATTGACTGGTTGCCTCCCACACTCGCCCGGACCCGGGGCCACGGGTCAAGCTTATGACCAAGATATATGCCCTTGATGGCAATTGAACCTGAGACCCTTCAGTCCACAGGTCGACGCTCTAATCATTGAACACCCAGCTAGTGCTCAAGGTCACTTTTAATTCTGAACTCTATGAAATGTCCAAAATGAACAGTGTACTATCTACAGTGGATCATTGGCAATGTTTGCTCTCTTAATAAAAACAAATATCTGGCCCTGGCCAATGTGGCTCAGTTAGCTGTGCATCGTCCCATGCACCAAGGGGTCACCAGTTCGATTCCTGGTTGGGGCACATGCCTGGGTTGGGGGCTTGATCCCCAGTAGGGAGGTGTTTAGGAGGTAGCTGATTGATGTTTCTCTCTCACATCGACGTTTCTCCCCCCCCCACCACTTCCCCTTCCTATCTCTAAAATCAATAAAAATATATTTAAAACAAACACACACACACACACACACAAACATCTGGATTATTTTCTTTTCCTAGAGTCCTCTCCCTCTTTTTTTTAAAATATATTTTTATTTATTTCAGAGAAGGGAGAGGGAGAGAAAGAAACATCAATGATGAGAGAGACCCATTGATTGGCTGCCTCCTGCACTCCCCCTACAGGGGATCGAGCCCGAAACCGTGGGCATGTGCCCTTGTGCGGAATCGAACATGGGACCCTTTGGTCCGCAGGCTGACGCTCTATACACTGAGCCAAACCAGCTAGGGCAGTTCTCTCCCGCTTGATGTAAGAAGCAGTCACAGGCACACCGCAGAAATACTTGGTTACCCTCTGATGGGAGTCACAATGCAGATGACATAGTAAAGGTTCTAAGAAGCCTTACAATAAAAATCCATCCAATGTAGCAACTCCCAAACATTTATTTGATCACTTATGCTCCAAGGACTATTTTAAGGCATTAGTATGCTGTGAACAGCCTCTAGGAAACAATGGGCATACGTACAAGTCTATGTCCCAGGAAAGGATTGTGATTTCCCTACTGTCACCAGAGTAAAGGCCTCAGAGGGTGCCTTTGACGCACCAAGAAGGCCCTGTATCTTGCCAGCACTGCCATCATAGGGAAGTGCTAATAAACTAAAAAGCATTTTGCAATACAGAGAATATGTTTGTTTTCTCTTCTAAATTGTTCCTGCTTAGTGATGGCTTCTGCTCAGAAAAAGTGTCTCAAATGATCAAAGTTGCATTTCTGCATGTCAGAAGGAAAGCGCCTTATTTATGTGTGATGGCTCATTTTTGTTTTGTTTTATTATGGAAATTTCAACCAAAGTGGAGAGACTAGAAAAAAGAACGCCACGTACCCGGGACCTAACTTTAAGAAATACTACCATTGCCCTGGCTGGTTTGGCTCTGTGGATAGAGCATTGGCTTGTGGACTGAAGGGTCCTGGGTTCAATACCCGTCAAGGGCACACGCCTGGGTTGTAAGCTCGATCCCCAGTAGAGGGCGTGCAGGAGGCAGCCAATTGATTATTCTCTCTCATCACTGATGTTTCTATCTCTCTCTTCCTCTCTGAAATCAATAAAAATATATTTTAAAAAAATAAAAGAAGAGCCGAAGCCAGTTTGGCTCAGTGGAT